ATATAATAATATTCGTTCTAAAATATAGATATTTTATAGTAAAGTTAAATAATTATAAAACTAGAATTGATTATAATATAGTATTTTACTATTTAACTATTATAATATTGGAATTATGTATTTCGACATCTTATCCAATTTGTATTAACGATTCATCCCATTAGAAAATATTCATTTTTCGGTTGTACACTATAAATACTTGACTCAAATGAACTATATGAATATTATTAAAATCCAATTGATCATAATATTTTCTTCAATAAAAATAATAGAGAAACTATAAAGAGTTTTCAAAAGAGAACTCAAAATGATTGGAAAAAAACTTGGAATTTTTCGATGTCAAAAGCTAAACAAAATCCATTTGACGATAATTACGGCTCTTCCGTCATCGAAGACTCAGAAGAATTCCAAGATTATTCAACTTCTTCAACTCCTTCAATTTCACCGGTCCTTCCAGAACTGCAGGAAGTTCCCCACGACACCCAAATGCCTTTAACAACAACTTCAAAAGACCAAAACAGTGTATTTGACAAATTCAATAAAGTGGACTTTAAAAAAGAAGACCAAAAAGACGACAAATCAAATTTTTTCGTTCCTTCTGCTTCCGACTCAAATATCCTACCCTCAGGGAAAATAGTTGCTTCGCTCTCAAAGATCGAATCTGCTCGTCAACTTTCTCACCAAAAATCCCAACGCAATTGGAGAACTGCCAAGAAATTTGGGAAAGCTGTAGTTTTCGACTTTGTTGGCACATTAGATGGGTTTAACATGGAAAGTGAGAGTTCCATTCTTTCTCCTCGATTGAACCAAAAGGACGTTTCTCACATTAAAAGTGCGACAGTTGCCTCCCCCGAACTGTTACAAAGCAAAGATCTTTCAAAAGAAAATTCCAAAGAAAAGTCAAAAGAGAAAGTATCTCCGGTGGTTCCCCCGGCACTTCCCCCACCACGAAAGTCGACCATTTCGATCGTCCCAAACACTTCAATCAAAGAAAAGACCAAATTAGAAACTCCTCCTCAGAACATTTCATTAGCAACACCCCCGCCACGAGGGACTTTTGTGATCAATCAATTCTTAAACAACGCGTGTGCGTCGCCTCCACAACTGCCACCGCCGAGGAAGTCGACGTTAGTAAAGCCACAGCAGACTTCACAAAGTCCGCAGAAGACGGAAAGAATAGAAATATTACAGAAGATCCAAACGGCTCGGGAGAACGTCACAACGCAACTCCGCAATGAAGAAAATGAGAAGTGCGAACATCAAAGTCCTTCGTCGTCTCAATCAAACCCAGTCGACCACAATCAAATGAATGAACGATTTCAAATTGGTGATATTAAAACGACAGAAGAACTCCAAAAGAACTCCCAACCAACTCCACTGGGACACGACAAATCCATTTCAATGTCTGTCGTCTCACATACTTCAGAAAAATCGGAAGTGTCGACTTACTCATTACTCTCCCCACGAAGTCCTCCACTCGCCGTCTTCGAGTTGGTGTCACAGAAGACTTACAGACAACGTGTTTTGGGACGAGTTTTGTAGCAGTGAATACACATACGTGATGGGCCTCAAATCTGTGAGAAGTTT